TCTAAAAGGGAGGTAGTAAGCATGTCTGCACTCCCCTCCTCCACTGTGGAGGGGCCCTGAGATATCACTAAGCTCAGCACATTGGACCATCACTGCATGGGAAAATGGGATTTTCACTGGGAGATGAGCTGAGGGGAAGGTAATTCAAGTTGCCAAGCTATCTTCCCCACAAAGGCTGTAAAATGAGCCATATTACTTTCAACTTCCTCCTGTTGTGGACACATAAGGTCATTTTATATGTCCTATTAAATCTGATCTTTGTCACAGAAAAATCAGATGTCAAATGTGAAAATATGCATGAGTATTGAAGTTTGGAAGGAAGCGAAGAAACTCTTCATTCAACTTTTAGCACTTTTTCAGAATGCTCACCTGTGTCTCCATGTTCAGCTTGTAGCCTGTGATTCTGCAAGGAATAAAATGTTACTGTGAATAAGTGATAAATGAATGAAGCAGAGTTTTATGCATGCTGAGTGTGAGGCTCTGAACCTCAAGTAGGAGATGTCTATTCCAGAGACACCACTAGATGGCAACAGTGTCCTGGTATTTACTAACACTCAGGTGAAATTTGCTGCATGTGTATGTTCACACAAGGAAATTTGAAAGAAAATCTGAAAAAAACATTGTAGCAGTCAGTATGGCACAGAAAACGAAACAAAACAGGGGGTGATAGCAACTATTATATAAAAAAAAAATGCCCATGCACATTTCCATTCTCTTCATAAAGGAGCTCCTGTTACTGAAGATTTTTGTTTGAAAGACTGGAAATGACTGCATCAGTTCTCTGGCACATGAAGGTCATGTGCAGGACGAGTCATTCTTGTCAGTTCAAATCGCAGGATAGTCACCACAGCTGACACTCCCCAGGGATCAGTGTGTCAGTCTGGGGTATATAATTCAGTGGCTGATGTTGAAGATCTTCACTCATCTTAATGTCATTTTATACTTTTTAAACTGTATCAAAGAGGGACTGAGTAGCCTGAAGGTCAAGTTGAACTCTAAGTGCACTAGTGCCTCAGGTTCACTGATGCTGTCGATAAATATTTAATGTTAGTAGCACCCTCTATAGAGAGACAGGGTAGTCCAAATAGCTTTTTATAGTTTTGCTATAAGTTAACGCATAACTTCCCGCCTTACTGTAAAACTAAGATGTGAATGAACAGCAGCTGTGTGATGTCCTACCTGACATGTGCTGTATGTGAGTCTGGTGTAGAGTAGTGTGTAGTTTAGTTTAAATCACACATTCAAATGATCCTGTAGTGCTGATAAAGTGAAGTTAGTTTTCTATTGGAGTGCTGGTGATACTTTCTCTTTTTGAATAAACAATTACAAATCATTAGGCCAAAAGCCCACAACAAACTTGTTATTTTTTTATCATGTAATCATAAGATTGAGCTTAGGTGGTATGTAATGTTATTTAAATTTTAATTATTAAATTCAAAATGTATGATCACAACAGCATATAGGCTGGTTAAAATTAGCTCCATCTAACAAGCTGAAGCATTAAAGCGCTATACACAATAATGCATTAATAACTTTAATCCACAACCCATTCTTAATGAGTACTTTTAGTTTTGCTAAGTTCAAATATATTTTGACACGAACACTTCAATTTAACATCTTGAATGCAAGACATTTGCTTGTAGCAGAGTATTTCCATAATATGGTATTCCTACTTTTAACTTACTTAAGTAACCGATCGGAGTACCTTTAAAACTACAGCCTTAGTGAATGCACTACCACACGAACACGAAGCGAGCTTCGCTGTCCTAATCATAGCAGCTGGGAGCACTTTACCACGTGATGTGAGGGATGTTAGAGAGCAGCCATCATTATTTCACCTAATTCATGTCCAGTCCGAAATGGTAAAAGATAAGACGACGGGGAAACAGAAAACTGCGATGTAGTAGGTCAGAACTCTGAAGCTTTAACCGGTCTCACCCACGCTGTCGTTTCACTGCTTCAGAGCTTGACAAGGTCTGTTTACTGTGTGCTTTCCATTTTCTCCCATTTCTGCTCATATGGTAGCTGCCGCCTGTTTCTGTTTGAGTGTACCTTTTTTTTTTTTTTTACATCACATTTATATGTTTCATATGGAAAACAGTCGCGAAGAGTTATCTGGAGCAGTTAATGTTTTGTGTCGTTGTCTTCGCCCCTCGATAACATTAGCCATGTGTTGTTGCTGTTTATACCAACACCAACTTGTTTGTGTCGCTTGTTGTGTAACAAATGTGTCGAATGCGGGGGAGCGTCAGGTAAACAACGGTGAAATCCAACATTCGTAACGTCTGAGTCACGCGTGGACATTGCTCGAGCTTTGTGAACAGGGCAGCCTGGCCCATGAAGCTTGTTTGAAGATAAGGCTGTTTTTACATTAGCTAGCATGACAAGCTATTATGGCCTACATACACTCAGTTGCCACTTTATTAGAGATAATATGGTAAAATGGGCCCCTGGGCACATACAGGTAAAGTTTAGTGTATCCATCTAGTTGTTTTGTATCCTTTTTGTTTTTTGTATTTGAGTTTCATTTTGATAGTTATGTCTCTTTATGTAGTTGTATCTTTGTAGTTGTATTGAGTTTGTTTGGGATGGTTTTGCATCTCTTTGTGGTAATTTTGTAACTCTTTGGTTGTTTGCATCTATTTGTGGTCTTTTAACTGAGTTCTGTGACTTTAAAACGAGAAACATTAACTCACTTATATATAGAAGTTATGGCCCTGGAGCCCCTGACCTCTCCGGCACCAGGGCCTGTGCCTGGTAGGCCCGTTCAGTAATCCACCCATGAGGGATGCTAATGCACTTTCATATAACTGCCAAAATATTTTACCTTTAATTATAGTTGCAGTTAAGTTTTTATTAAAACTGTTAGATAAAGGTGTTGATTCGACTTAATGCTCATTTCGGAGACTATGGACTTGTACTGTATTAAGCTGAGAGACATTTTGAATATTTGGGATATACTGTTTGATGGCACTGAGATGTTTCTCTTATTTTGACCATGCTGTTTATATTGGTCAGGGTTGACCAAATATTAGAAGCATTGCCAGGTCAGGCAGGTATTCTTATTGCATAGAGAATGCACAGCAGTCATTGCCCTGTGTCTTTGTAGGTGTGATACACTGCTCATCCAACAGGGGGCAGCAGAACTCGCTGGCCCATGGTCCCAATCAGGTCAGGTGGTTTGTTCTGCAGAAATAAAAATGGCTACAGAAGAGGAGCACATAATTTTGCTACTGCTAAATTGCTTCTTGTAAATGGGGGAGGCCAAAGATGGGACGTCTGCCCAAAAGCACGCCTCACTTCCCGCCACTGCCATTTTGTGGCTTATTGGCAACAGAAAGTTATTCTATAAACAAACACTTCCAAGTAGGTTGTCAATATAGTATTTGCATTAGCACCCCTATTGAAAATGTGTGAAATAACAGTTGTGCTCATGCTATTACAAAATTTTGTACTCAAAGCGACGTACTTGTGTAGTATGAAAGAGCAATAAAGTTGCAATACAACCCAATACAGTTTAATAGGCACCACAAACTACCACCTTAAACCACAGTAACGTTGGATCAGTAATAACTGAACACTAAAATCTTCCTTAAGGTAGGATTTATTGCAGAGCAGATATTGCAGTATCTCATAGGATCCTGGGACCTGGCAATATTGCCCTCTGCCAGGTATCTCTGCACCTCCTGGATGGCATCAGCTGTGGCAGAGATTCGTTTTGGCAGATGCATCCCGTTGACATATGCGCTTCCTTATAAACACAGTTTGGCGCGGCAGTGTCAGTTCAAAACAGTTCCTGTATCGGTCACGTGACTTTCTTAAAGCGATACGCGCACCGACACGGGGTTTTGCTCTACGAGCTTGATGCATGTGGCGAAGCATCGGTGTTGCCGGACCCATCACTAATATTCAGCAACACTTTTCTACACAACACTAACATTTGTTTGAATACAGTGTACAATGTTATCTTTGTTCTTGAGCTGTATGTACTCAGCAGGTTAACAAACAGGCTTCAAGTTCAGGTGGGGCTGGTCTAAAGTGGGCCTAACAGAGTGTTTCCTTGGGGTTCCAGCAGATCTCTTCCTCATGCATTTTAATCAGCTCCAAACCAAGGGGCCCAGGAACCCAACCAGCCCAGGCCAGGATCTCAGTCCAAATCTATCCCTCCACAAGCTACCTTTTATGCTACTTATTGCTGTGTTTATTTTGAAATCCAAGGTAAATGTGGGAAGATCTTGTTATTGTTATGTTAGTTTAGATTTGCCTGTGCATGTTGTGTGCACTGCAAGATGGCCTTTGGCATGATGAGTGGGAATGGCTCAAAGACGGTGCAAATTAACATGTTTCGCTCTCCCTGAATTGAATGCTGGACAGGCATTGGAGAGTGTTTACATTTAGATGCTGGCCACCTGCTGTTTTGCTTTTTCTTCCCTCCTGTTTTCCAATCACTGAGGAGACAAGACCCATTTTAAATGGTTGTTTACTTGCATTAGAAGAAGAGCCAAAGTACTTCTCAATGAACTCTTGTCTACAATTCAATTAGAGGGGCCTTCCCAGCAGCACAGATTTTCACATTACACAGTGCTCTCTACAACCTTGTTGCGACACAGGCAGAAATACGAAGACCAAAGAGCAGCAGTAGTCAAACTTGTGCTCACAAAAATTCACATTAGGTCTCTGGGATGTCAATCCTTAATTCAGAGTGTGGTTTATTAGACTAGCCTAGAGTTTTCAGTGTGAGAGAAGGGCCTGAATAATGACTTGAAGTAATCCAATTTATCATTATCATATGATGCTTTTTATCAGGCTGCTCAGTAACACAACTATACAAGTGCCCCAACACAGCTGTAGTCGGCGAAGTAACACACGACAGATCTTCAATGTGCTTTTCTTGTCAAGTTTCTGCATGCTGAAATGGTTTCTGCCTCAGTGCTGTGATCCAGAGTTGTCTTCAAACATGACAGAACATCTTTTTATGTTTTAAGACAGACTGGGGCTAAATGTTGATGTCAGGAAGGGCATCTGGCATAAAACACGTGCCAAATGTCAACATGTGAGTCGTCAGCGTCATGATTCACTGTGGCGGCCCCTAAACGGGAAAAGCCAAAAGTGACTTTCTAGGGCTAATGTTGATACTGATCTCTTCAGTCAATTAATTTCATGATGATTAATTGGATTCATTTCATTTTAAAGATGCAAGGAGACGGGAATAAAGGGTATGTGTATTAGAGACATTAGCTGTCCTTTCCTCCAGTCATCCCTTCTGAAGTGTCCATTCACCAACTGATTTCTGATAAAGGGGCATGTCAGTCCCTAAAAGACTTTGGTGAAGGATGATCTTCCAGCAGCCTCCTTAAACCTCAATCCTCAGAGCAGGAATTAGAACTGTGGGCTGTTCTTCAAGTTAGTGAACCAGAATGACTTGTGGGTTGAGCAAGGAACAGTCGGTTAAGGGAATTGGGCTTTACCCATTAATCATTGATGTGTTTTCATCTACTTAAGATGAGGACACTCAGGGCAAAATTGATCATAAGCATTTGTAGTTGATTAACGTGTAATGTCGTCAAGTGCAGATCTGTCAAATTCTTATCATAGAAGTTTCAAGCTAGTTACAGTTAAAAAATAATCAGATCAGGTGGTGTCTAGAGTGGGATTATCCAAACTGAATTAATCCAAAAATAGACTTTTGAAGAGAACGTAAGAGCTTTCTCAAAATTTGTCCCATGTGGCATCATGTATGTTGTCTGTAATGCAAGTTAAAAATCTACATGAAGGTACAGTTCAACAACCATACTTTAGGATGCATTTGTTGTGCTTTTCAGTTGTTGGATTTAAAGATTTATGCAGGTATCTTAATTGTTCTTGTTGATTCTGTTAGGTGGGCAATACTGTATAGATAAAATACTGTCAAGGTGTGTTGCAGTAATGGAATATATAAATTTTTCAGGAAATTTCACAAATCACAATGCTTAAGTATCCAATCAAATGTTTGTATAAAGAAGTCTACAACACTGACCATATACAGGTGCTGGTCATATAATTAGAATATCATCAAAAAGTTGACTTATTTCACTAATTCCATTCAAAAAGTGAAACTTGTATATTATATTCATTCATTACACACAGACTGATATATTTCAAATGTTT